CCAGCAGATTTTGGTATTCCAATTCCGATGAACCCAATAGGGAGGGGGAATAGACCATTCTAATTCCGACTGAAAACCAAATGGACCCCTAATGGCTAATACCGAATGGAGTACATAAACAATAAAGCATTGTTTTCAGACTCCAACCAGATCGAACCCAATAGTTGAACCGGTGAACCAGTAATGGCTTGAACGATCTATCCAGTTAATTAGTAAAACTATGACCCAAACAGCTTTCTGGTCTGAGTTTGAATTATGAAGTGTACTTTTTTGTTAATATATAACAGGGTTTACCGTTTACCTTTAGGGATTTATTATCTGAAAATGGCTTGATTAACATGTAACTGTTTTGTGATTAAAGGTTGTATTATAATGTGCCAGGCATTGTTTATAATAACTCTTAATCAATGCGTCAAACCTCTTCTGCATTGTTTTTAGTCTTTGGCTTCTCAAACCCTAATTTTTCTTAGCCATTCACATTAGACATGTAGAAGATATGGTTAATATAATTTCTTAGTTTTGTGACTGAGGACTGAGGAGGTGACCTACCCATATTTCACAAGGCCCAATTATCTTCAGGTTAGAAGATATGTCACCATCTGCTCTTTGAGGTCATAGGGTTGAATTCTGTAAGCCCCCCAAGTGGAAAGGTTGAAAGTTCTAGGTCTTTCATAGTTGCAAGTATTTCAAATTTCCTTGTAATGACTCCATCTCAGAGATGATCACATGCAAATGCCATGAAACATCAAACAATTTCCTAACACCCCAACAAATTTTGGCTAAGTCAAACCCAATTAGAGGAAATTTGATGTTAATTATTGTCTAAATTAAAAAAAAAAATTGTAGAAATTTCCTACACAGTTACAAATTTGCATAGAACAAAAATACAGTTACAAATTTGCAGTTGTCTTTCAAGCTGATGTTTGGGCCAGTGGATCTCCATGTTGGGACCCATCAAAAGGGAAGTTGAAATCTACTGAGCATGAGCAGTACGCGACTTCAGTATTCTTGCCTGTAACTAATGAGGATAAATAGCAGCCCAGCTGATACTTGTGAGGGCACCCTTTTGGGCCGATTCTTAGAGTCTAAGCAGTCCAAAAAGCACAGGGCCCGATGCAAGTTTGGATGGTTCAACTACTGGAGCCCAGGAAAACAGATGAAGAGTATTAGAGTAGTGACCCTCAAATCAACCTACCATCTTAGTTGAAGGTTAAAACCTTTCACCATGAAACCACAATAATATTTAGGGCATGCATGATGATGATGATGATGGAGGCATTTTTCTCCTTTGAAAAGTCAAAGAAAGGAGTCCCACTCTTCCACATGAGGCCAAACCAACATCTCTTTCTATATTTCTCTTGTATTATTATAATAATTTTTCAATGTCCATTGTTTATGTTCTACTCATGCACACCCTCATATTCTTCTACTTAATTATCTCCTAAGACAAAAGATTGAAGCCTCACATTGGAAGAAAATCTGAACTCCATTATCCAGATAAAACCCCACGTGGGATGATGCAACCCCCGTGCAAACAAAGGCAAGGAGTGGCAAAGTCAAGAATAGTTTAACCACCAGATGGTGACACGTGGCTGAGTCCTGTAGATCTTGACCAATGCCGTGTTAGATGGTATTTGTTAGCAGGTCATTATTGGGAACCCACTTCACCATTTTGTGTGCTTGTCGGCAAAGGCAAGGGCCAAAGCAGCCTTATTTCATATATAAAATATTTTATTCTGTGGGAAGACCCAAAGCCCTTGTCGCTTGCTTCATATTTTAGAGGATAAATTATACACACCCACACTCTACTTGGGAGATCGTGATTAGGATTAAGGGGTGCAAATGGATCGGATAATGATAAGAGATCCGATTTTATTTGGTCGAATTCGGATCATTCTGTTCGGATTATCTTTATTTGATTTGAGAAGATTCAATTTGATATATGTTATATATTTATTATATTATTTATTTTTTATAAAAATATGTATATATATGATAAAAATAATTAAAAAAATACTTGTATTTTATTTAAATTAGTATATCTTATTTTCTTTTAATAATTTATTAATTTTTAAAGAATAAATCGGATTGGATCAAATCCAAAGATCTAACTTACTGATAGGATTCGAATTCAAATCGAGTCCTATTAGATTTGATCGTATCCGACATGAACAGTGTCAAATCATATTCGAATATACCCTGTTTCAAATCCAATCCGATCTATTTGCATCCCTAATCGTGACACTTAACCACCCGAACTTTGTTTTGCAACCAAGACCCTCTCTTAGTATTTTTAGATTTTAATACTTGGTCCTTTCATGAGTTAACTACATGGATCCATCTTCATGTCATCTTTAAGATCATTTTGTCCTTTTGAATTAGTTTTTCTAAAATATTAGCTCTTCCATGTTTCTCTCAACAAAGGCTGATAACGACTTATGCCCTTTTATGTGTGTTGGCGAATAGGAGCTTAAAATAGCAGTTGATCTTTACATGTTGTGTTTTACAAGGTTCTAAAAACTGACCTAGAAATGGAACCGTTGTGGCCACTGGTTTTCAAGGCAGCAGTTCGACCGCTCAGGTTGAACAGTTCAAACAGTTTTATTAGAGTGGAATATTAGGGCAAATATTGTTACTCTTTTAGTCTTTTAGGCTGCATTTGGAAATGATGCAAATAAGTGAGAATTCAAATATGTAGAGTATAAAACGGTTCATATAAATTACAAAATTGGGTTAGTTTTGCACTGACAAATTTACCATCTAACCAAACATACTTTTAGCTGTAATGGATGCAAACATGAATTCCAATAAAGCATATGCTTTTTTTTTTTATCAAAAGCCTACTTGAAAGAAAATTTACTTCTTTTTTATTGATGTACTTTTACATCTTATTATCAATGTAAATATGCACAGGCAAAAGTGAAACAAAGTGCAAATTTACCCTGAATCGGGATTTACACTCCATTTGCATCGTTTCCAAATGCACCTTTATGAGAAAAGAGAGATATGTGGACGTTGGCTGAGAAAGAAAGAAAGAGAGAAGGAAAGAAGGAAAGAAAGAAAGGAAGGAAGGAGAGAAAGGAGAAAAAGGGAGGGAAGGAGGGAAGAAAGATGAGGAGGAGGATCCTACATTCATCGGTGATGACAATGGTGATAGTGACAAAAATGTAGGTCTCAGATCTGAGATCTGATTTCTCTCTGACCTTTGCAATCTTGTTTTCTGCTGTGTGTGTGTGTGTATGTGTTTCTGGGATCTTAGTGATCTCAAATCTAAGATCGTTCTTGTCTCAATCCTTTCCCATCTCTCAATCTCCTATGCATTTTTATTAAACTGCGAACCATTGTCTGGATCAATTGTTGGATCGTATGGGTCAACGGTTATTTGACTAAGTTAACGATTTTGGACCAGGAATGGGTTAAGGGTGAAATAGAACCAGTTACCTGGATGACTTTTGAGCCAAATGGTCTGACCCTCTGAGTCAATGACAATTCGAAAGCATTGGTGTTTTATATTAGGGCTTTCCTAATTCTCATCATTGTTACTATTAGCGCATAGAATACTGAATGGGCAATTTGGTAATTTTACCTTTGGCATTTACCTTACTAACCATTTAGGCCTCGTTCATTAAATGGTAAGTCATTTACCTAGATAAATGCGTTTGCTCGGGAAAATATTTCTTGGGAAACATTTGCTAGGATAAGTGCACTTACCAGTGTTAGAAAATGACCATTTTTGTTTCCCAAATAAAGTTATACAATGACCATTTTATCCATAATAGCATCATTTTTGAAAGGACAGTGTTATCCCATCATGTGTTAGAATATTTTCACACGGATGGAAAAACGATTTACCCAAATCTTAGGAGGGTATTACTTATCCAGGTATATGAGTTGCTAAGAAATCCTTATGGAGGAAGGGGAGGTTTAATATATCAATACACTCCCCATGGCAGAAGCGGTGTATCAATACTTCGAACCTAATGCTTACCATTTTTTTTAATTTTCTTTTTCAAAATTCGGGAGAGGGTGGGAATAATATTGTTTAACATTCAAAATGAATTTTCTTGAAAAAAATCCTAAGCTTAGTTTGGAAGGTGTACATTTACACTATGAATATTTTGGACCGATCCAAAAATTGTCCAATCTGTTCAAATTCCTGTTAATTTAAATTGATTTCAACTCAAACCTGGTCCGTTGACACCTATGTCCTTATTTTCTATCAATGGACCAGATATTGACTCAATCCAATATAAATTCATTATGCATGGACCAAGTCCAATCCAATATGTCATATTGGTCTGTTCAGTCCATCCAAATTCAATGTCTTATTGGTTCGTCCAATCTGTCCAAATAGATTTTGATTTGGACGGAATCCAACCGAAAACCGATCCATTGACACCCCTAATAGTGACCACCTGAGTTGAGGGTGGGTGTGTCTCTAACCAAAACCATGGCTTATTATTCTTTCTCGAAAAAAAAAAAACAAAACAAAATAAAAACTGGCCAACTGGACTCTTTCTTAACAAGACAGCATGTCTGCATATACTTGTTCCACGTCGAGGGATCATTTGATTTGAAGTTTTGAACTTTGGACCTTTGCAGTAGAGAGTAGACCCCATAAATAATAAAAAATAATTGAAGATTTGAAAGTTGGGTTGATTCATTATGTCATGAGTAAAGTGAAAACAATCATAATTACATAATATTTTCAAGGTCAGAAAAGCCAAGATATTCACTTCTTTCGGTGAAACGCTGTCATTGTCCATTCCATTATCATCTTGGATAATATTTGAGTCATTGAGATACTCTGCAATTTTCCTCTACAACATTATTCCTAAAGTTTACTGGTTTAATGATTTCTAAGATACTTGCACTCTGCAATTGATTGAATGGTCAACCATCTAGTCAGAAGCGGAGTTTGGGCAATCAGAGATCAGATGCCTGATCATCGATTTGTGGTGCCTACTGAATAACACACATTCGACTGATGAAATAACAGAGACACAAAAGAGAGAGTGAGTCATGAAATATTGTACCAGATACAACAACCAAGAACAGTTCGCATGTCCCACATTACTTGAGTAGGGAATCATGACTTCCATTGACTGCCACACAACAGCAAGACAGAAATCTCTGTAAACAGCATATTCAGTCTATTACGAATATGCCAGATGCCACCAGTGATAATGCTTGACAAATTCAGAAAAGAAAACGATTAAACTGTCTTGATATTCCAAAATAAAAAATAATAATTACCCAAGTCGTGATGGCAAAACCAAAATTTTTTAAGGGCCAACCCATTTCAACAGCATGCAAAAAGACAATTTAACTGCTTGACTGGGTAATTTATGATGCAGAAGAAAATCTTCACAATTTATGGCATCATGACCCATTTTTGGTGTATATGGAGCAGTGACTACGCCATTAATGAGTAAAGCAGCAACTATGTGCTTTGCAACTCTTGCTTCAACAGAGAATACATATGAACTACAGGTTGACCCTGCAGTTTGGTAAAGGAATGAAACAGAGCAACCTGAATGTGCAATTAGGCCCATAGAACCAAACTTCAAGTTTGAGTTTGAGGTCTTCAAGACCAACATGATTTATTGACTGAGATTGATCACCTCCTTAAGCAATCTACTGATGGAAGCTCTTGTTTCTTTGGGTACAACTAGCTCTGGGTGAAACAAGTCCAAGGAATACACCATGAGAATTCTCATAGTATCAGCCAAATTTAAATGATCAACTTTCAATACTTTTTTGTTCACAAATTTACATGAACTTCTTAGTTTGCAAGCACAGCATACCTGAAAGAAGACATAAAAATAAGAGAATAGAACCTAAGGATATAATGCTTAAAGGCATAACACAAATAGAAAGGATTTTAGTACAAAGGCAGCTTACAGTATCTTCGTGAACACTGAAGAAAGTACGCAATCTTTTAGCTGCAAATACATTATCCTTTGCAAGGGAAGGACAACCAAATAAGGCAACAGTTTTTAAGTCGCTACCTGACAACCATCTGCAAAAACCAGATTTCAAAGGTTACACTAAGCAGTGCAAAGAATGATGATAAGCCAGATACTAGATTTACTGAAAATGAAGCAGCAGTAACCAAATGTAGTCCAAATTGTACCAAATTTAAATCAAAACATAATGTGCCCACAGATTGGTTTCAACTATTTTGCATGTATTGTAATCAAGCATACAAAACACAGAAAAAGGTAGGGAAACAACAGAAATAGAATTAGATTGGAAAACATACAATAAGTAGAAAACCCTATTTTTTATGGTTAAGCTATCAAGGAAAAAGTAAATCAGAATTTTTATTTCTTTACATGTTTACAAATAACGTATTTTCAAGAGAATGACCATCACATAAATGATATATTTTTCACTGTTCTTTCTGATGGAGTAGTAGATGATGTGTTGGTCACTGCAAATTTCTACAATTACAAACCTCTAGCATGTTTTTCATCTGAAATGCAAAATCAATCTGCATCTCCCATGTCAAAAGTAAAAGTCCACAAACTGTTTCCATCTGGTTTGAGCAACATTTGTCCTAGCTGGTGAGAGTTTCCAAGGGAGCTTCCCTAAGCAGTACCTCCACCTCCCCATCAATCTGAGGAAGATGTGACATTCTATAAATGGGAATACATGGGGAAGACCAAAAGATCTCCAACATTTCCTAAGATTGTGGACGGAAAGATGCGATTGTGTTTTTGATCCACTTACCAAAAAAAAGTGTCTTTGATCCCATACTCCTGATATCACAGCATACATAATAACTTTGTAATAAATCTGGTCTCTACATGCCATCCTAGTTACCTTGCATTGACCATTGGCCAAAGATATCCATTACTAACTTGATCATCCTATCACAATTCAGACCAGAACATAATTCAATGTCAGTAACCAGACTATTTGTAATTGATAGTGGTGAAGATTTTGCTTCTCCAAGAACAGCTCAAGGAGACTTCGTGCAGGTTGAGTTTGTTGAAAGAGCAAGACCAACCTCCTAAAGTAGCATTTTAAGGACAAGGATCCATCTAACTAATCATTTGTCTTCATTCACTCCAATATGACTAGCTTACATAGGCTCTTGATTCCTTAACCTAACTTCAAATAGAACCCACCCATTACAGAAAATATCTTCTGGAAAGCACTAGAGAAATAAATTGTAGAACCTGTTATTGAAAAAAAAATCAAATGACACCAATATGATAAACCATAAGACATACCAAAACCATAAGCAGGGACAAAAAAGTATATCTACAAGCATGCTGCTCTACTCCATATGGAAACAAGAACCAGGTATGTATTACTCACTCATTTCATTGGAGAAGGGCAGCCTGCTTATATTCTTTGGATAAATCAGTGGCCCTTACATCCTTTCAACATTTTGGAATATCTAGGTATATATTACTCCACTCATTTCATTGTTCTTTGCAATCAGTTATGACCACATCATGCCAAAAACCTTAGCAGAGAAGTTGCAGGGTGAAAATTCTGAAACATCTATTACTTTATCTTCATTCACTTCAACCTCTCAGAGAAGGGACAAATATGCAAACACAAAATCAACATCCCCAGTAGACTGCAAATATATTACCTCCACTTGTTCCCAACACCTTTCTTCTTTCCCTTTTTGTGTCTGCATCAGATTAAATTCCACCAAAGTGTTGCTTAAAAAATCAGGGGTCATCACCTTGCTTGAATAGATTTTATTTTTATCTTTTTTTTTTTCCGTAAGGGTTGAGCTCTGTTGTCTGTATCCTCTGGAAATCTGTACATCCCCTTGTGTATTCGCTTTCTGTTTTCTAATTTAATACAATCACTCTTTCTCAATAAAAAATAAGGCACATGCGTCATCTACAAACGTAGTGCTAATAAGGTCCTCCTTCACCCCCCTCCCCCCAAAAGAAAAAGAACTAATAATAAACACGTGTAAATACAAATGCAAATGAGACCACACATGTGATTGGCTGTCACCGACTGAATGGAAATTCATTGCAAGTGCAGCAGATCTGGACTCGATTATTTTGCAGATATGGCAAAGTGTCTTTGGGTCAAAAATTCATCCATGAACACTGGGTGGGGAGAGGAACTCAGAGACTTTTTGAACTCCAAATTAATTTGACGTGTGAGATTCTTAGCATAGTTAGGGAAACTCATGGAATGACCAAACTAGCATATCAACTCCCCCATATGTGTGTCAGTGAATTTGCCTATCCTCCATATTTAGGGAAAACCATTTCCCACCTCCCACCCAAAAAGAAAAAAGAAAAAGAAATTGTAGATCTAAGGATACGTAGTTATTCCATTACTCAAAAGAAATGCTTATTGTTAATTATCTACCTCCCCTTATCCTAGATGGATGCTAGCAGAACCACATTTTGCAAGATGGATTTTTAACCCAATACCATTTTAACCATCATTCAACTTTCCTTTGGAGTTCTTACGTCTTAGACTCTACTCTATTAACTTCAAAAAAAGACGCTACTCTATTAGCTTCACCCAATATAACTGTATCATCTGCAAATTGTAGATTTTGTACTACCCTTTCTTTACTTTCTACTCTAAAACTTTGAAAAGGTTCCTATGATCTGCCCTCTTCAATAGTCAATGTTCTACTCAAGATATCCACGACCAGAATGAAAAACATTGGAGAAAATGGATCTTCTTGCCTCAATCCCCTAGAAGATTTAAAAAAAAAAAGTTTAGGAGTTTCAACTGGATAGGCGTGTGCTTTGAAATTTATTATCCCTCTCTTCTTTGAAGATAAATAAAAAATTAATTTCATTAGAAAGAAAGAAGGAATACGGACAGGGGTGATAAGAAATCACCCCAAATAGAAAGAAAAGCCACCCCCTAAAGCAACCTTATAAAATGAAAACACAAACCCCCTACACTTTTGAATCTTAGAACCTACTCCACACAATTACAATTCTTTCCTCACCCAAAGAAGATCAAAAGAAAAATCTTCAGCTCCCACTACCTCTCTCTCCTACCTCCAAAACTTTATTATCCCTCCCTTCCAATGGATCATAATTGGGACTTTCGGTTTTGAGGAGGATTGAAAGATGACAAGGTGACTGTTCTAACTGGTTTGCTGCAAGTTCTTGGCAATGTTTGCCTGGATCCCTCTAAACCAGAAAGCCTTTTTCTTCTGTCTCCTTTAAGTCTCTTTGTCATTCCCCTTCCTCTTCGGCTTTCCCCATCCAAGAAGTTTGGCCTAGTTCTATTCCCCCCCTAAAATAGAGGCCTTTTGTTGGGAGATGTTCTATGGGAATAATACAATGGGTGCCTTACAAAAAAGAAGACCCTTTATGTGTGTATCTCCAAACTGGTGCATTCTGTCAATGGAGAGAGTTGTTACCACCATCTAATCTCCAATCCTTTTGCTGCAGATATTTGGGAATGGTTTTTCTTTTTGTTTGGGTGCAAGTGAAGTTGGCCAACGGAGGTCAATATGCTTTTTGATCCTTCTACTTTCATGTGGTCCAAGAAAAGGGGAAGAATCATGTGGAGATGTGTAAGAGTAGCTTTGATTTGGATGATATGGAAGGAAAGAAATGCAAGAATATTCTTAGAAAAGGAGAGAAGGAAGTGGTAAGAGAATGTGTAATGACCATAGTAATACATTGGATTAGAACTTCAGACACTTGCTCACAGTTCTCATTTGAGGATATAAGGAAAAATTGCAAGGCGGTGGCTAGAAGATCCTCTAAGAAGGAGAGGTTAAGCTCAGCGAGGATGCCTCCTCCTGAAGATTACTTAAGGCTGAACTTTGACAAGAGCAGTCTAGGCAACCCGGCCCTTCCAAAATAGGAGGGGTTTTAATAGATAAAGGACAGGTCATTACTCTATTTTCGGGTCCAATGGGAGTGAGGGATTCTCTTGGCGCTGAAGTGCTTGTTGCCCCTACAAGGAGTCAAGGAGTACAAATTGCTAATATATTGAATAAGGTGAATTTTGTGATTGAAAGAGATTCAAAGGTAGTGGTGGGGTGGCTGAAGGAACCAGAGCCTACAATTTGGTGGTACAGAGACAAGATGAAGAAATTTTGGTACAGAGACAAGATGAAGAAATTTAAGTGGCTAATCAAGGGTGAATTTGAGGACACAATGGGGGTGAGGAGATCAGCTAATGTGATGGCGGATGCCTTAGCCAATAAAGGGGTTAATAGGGGTCAATTGTTTTGAGATGAGTTGTAATTTGTATTTTTTGTTTTCATGGGAGAGGTAATAGCTCATGCCCCTCCAAGGGATGCTTATAATGTCATTTTCTTGTGATTAATATAACTCTACTTATCAAAAAAGAACTTATTAGAAATTTAGAATAAAGAAATGCATGGCCAAAATACACCCCATGATCCAATCAATCCACCTTCTACCAAAGCTCATTTTTGTTATAATCTATCTTTAAAATCTGCAATTTGTAAATAAATCTTTTCTCATCCAATTTTCTCAAATTCTTCACTACCTCATTTGCAATCAATATTTTATGTAGAATTTGATGTTCATCGGAAAAAACCTCCTTGCTTTTGCAATACCACCAAATGAAGGATTTTCTCTAATCTCATTGACAAGACTATTGCTGTGATCTTAGACAAACATGTGGCAAGACTGATTAGTCTAAAACTATTTAGGGAATTTGAGAAATGATTTTTAGGGATCAAAGATATAAATGTCGCTTTCATTCTTTTTTCAATGTTCTCCCCTCAAAAAATATATATATATATTGAAGACTCTTGAGAAATGCCCATTGACAATTTTCAAATCATTCTTGAAAGAAGGCCATTGTGAGTCCACCTAGCTTCTAATTTCCTCCTTAGATAACAATTCTTCCAATTTCCAAGCAAACCCTCTAGATTATATTCGAAATGAAACCTTCCAAAATGGTTCTTTTCCTTCTTTGATGTGCATACAAAGCTTGAAAATAGGAAATGAAAAATATTGTCAAACTCCTCCAGATCCAGTGTTTCATTGCCATTTAAGACTAACTTCAATATGAATTCTTCCTTCTTCCAGTTTCCAAGCAAATCCTCTGGATTAAATCCCAAATCAAACCTTGTAAAATGATCTTTTCCTTCGTTGAGGTGCATACAAAGCTTGAAAATAGGAAATGTCAATATTGTTAAACTCCTGCAAATCATGTGTTTCATTGCCATTGTTAAACTCCTTTCATTTGCTAGAGAGTGAAAAATCATTTGTTTTCTTGAGTTAAATTCAGCAAGATTTTTCCAAACCCAGTGATTGAGTTGTCTTGGTAAATTTGCAATTTGGAACTACTAGCCAATAACTAAGGATGTTGAGTTTTATACAAATAACTTCAATAAAGATTCTTTCAACAACTCATTAGACTTTCTAGCCTAAATAATATAGGTTTCGTAATTTTTAAAGAAGGAAAAAATTAATGTCCCTACTTAAGTGAGGGACACAAGTACTAACATAACTTTACACATCAGCAACTTAAACATAAGCATAAAAACAAAATTACCCCTACACAGTCGACATTAACACTCCCCCTCAAGTTGGTGAGTATATATCATATAGTCCCAACTTGTTACATATGTAGTCCACTCTTCCCCGACTCAACCCTTTGGTAAACAAATCTGCCCATTGGTTTCCTGTGTTAACATATGCAGTATCTATCACTCCACTCAGCACCTTCTCTCTCACAAAGTGACAATCAACCTCTATATGCTTGGTTCTCTCATGAAACACCGGATTAGAAGAGATATGGACTGCAGCTTGATTGTCACAGAAGAGCTCCATTGGAGTGCCAACAGTGTATCCCATCTCCTGTAAAAGGTTCCTCAGCAACACTAATTCACAAGTAGTATGTGCCATAGCTCTATATTCTGCCTCTGCACTGCTTCTTGCCACAACTGTCTGTTTCTTACTTTTCCATGTCACCAGATTACCCCCAAGAAAAGTACAATAGCCTATAGTGGATCTCCTATCAGATATAGAACCAGCCCAATCAGCATCAGTATATCCCTCTATTTCAAGTTTTCCTCCACTTCTGTATATCAAACCACGACCAGGAGCCCCCTTTAAATACCTCACAATCCTTAGAGTTACATCCCAATGTGGAACCCAAGGTTTCTGCATGAACTAATTTACCACACTAACCGCAAATGTCATTTCACCCATTTTAGTTTTATTTTGACAGTATTATATTAAATGCCCAACATTCAACAACATGCTTGCTCCACCACTTCCAATCTGTCATGAAATTCTACATGAAACTTCCACATATATTATCTACCTAGATCATGATTCGACCATGATAAGACATACTGCATGACAATCTCTCTTGAATCAATTTGTTGTATTCTTCCAATCATGGCACTGAAAACCATTCCAAATCTATAACATACCACATATACTTGACCAAATAAAGTTGGCATTTCAAATATAAAATATCTCAATCTTTGGCATGAGGTACGTACTGAGATCGGTAATCCTTTCCCCAAAGATTTCCTATAAGTAAATCTAGTTATATTAAAATAATTACCTAGGCACTACCATATTTAAGCAGCTACTTGTGTGGTAAAATGTCTCATTGATTGGTTAATTTGGCCCATAAACCCCAAAAAGAACCAAGTTACCTGAGCCTGTCCACTTCACATGTTGTATGAGAATGCATTGTAATGGTTTTTCTTGCCTGCATAGCAATGCTGAGCTTCCATCTCTTGATATTGCCTAATAATGCATCTTGACTATTCTTTTTGTGTTAATAAATCCTATGATAATATCAATAAAAATATACCACCATTTAGAAGTTCCCAACACCCATTTCCACTTGTTTTTGATAGGTAAAAACGAAAATTTCATTAAAATAAAAGAAAATTACAGGATGAAGGTGTTGTTGCTTCAGCAGTTCTGAAGTCATACATTGTGCATGTTACTAAGGTGTACAAAAATTATGAGTATAATGTATTATCATAACCTATGATAATATCAAGATTGTTGTTGCTTCAGCAGTTCTGAAGAAGCCCCGAGTCTCAAGCAAAATCCACATTATGCATGTTACTAAGGTTTTTCATGGTTGAAAGGACTTGTTGGGGCAGGTCCGCCCAACAAACACAAAAAGCTTTACAAAAGAGACGGGGTAAACTTCAGATCTCCAAATCATGAAGACCCTGTTGGGGAGAGTCAAGACTTGCAAGATTTTGATAGGAAGAAGAACCTTTCGATGTCCCTTCTAGAGAGGGGGGGGGAGTTGTGAAAAAGTGGAGTTACAAAGTAAAGGAAAGGGAGAGCAGAAGTGAAGTTAAGGAGGTTGCTGTTGAGGTGTTGCTGGAAGAGAAGGAGGTGAAAAAACTTTGGATTTGTTTTTCTGGGGAGGAGAGACTTTTGCTAGAAGACCTTTTGAAGAATTTGAGAGGAGAAGGACGGAAGAGAGACTTAAGAAAACCATAATAAAGAAAGGGTGAGAAATATTGAACAAGGAAGGAGGGTAGGAAAAATTTTTTGATGGGGAGGATTGAATGTGGTCTTTAGGAGGAGTTACTGGGGTAGCGTTTAGTGCTTGTAAGAAGGGATCAAGGGAATCTCATTTAGTTTGTTTTGTAGTTTGATTTTAGTTTGTCTGGAAGGGTTGCATTTAGCTTGTCTGAGAGGTGTTATCTTAAAACCTGTTAAGTAGTTGTAATCAGCTTTTATTTTTTTTTTCAAGTTAGACAGGAGATGTAATGTTGGGCATGGTGCCATTTGCTATTTTCTGGTGCATCTGAACTGAGAGAAATGGTCAAAATTTTGAAAGCAAAGCAAATTGAAAGGATGTTTTACAAGGCAGAGTCAATGGTACTTTGCAGTCTTGGTTGTCAATACATAGATTGTTTAGGGGAATTATCCTAAAGTAAATTTTGATATGAACATGTTTATATTTTGAGGATACACCAAATCAATTTTTTTTATGGTCCTTTGGTGTACATGGGAGTTGATGTAAGCACATAATAGTATATCACTACAACACATTACTTTTTCAAAAGAAAGAAAGAAGGAAACATTATCAAACCCTTTTGACCCTCTAACTTTACCAGGAGTAATGAAGATAGGAGAGTCAACATTTTAAGGCAGGAGAAAACCCACTCTATCCTGTTAAGAGAAACTTGGAGGGAGCATTGGGTATCACAGAGACAATTAAAGACAATTGATGGACTGCCAAGAGACTGATGGAGGTTCAAGCATCAGTCCAAAGAATGCCAACAGAATGTTGTCTCACCTGAGGGTACAAGATTCAACCAAAGAGTCTTCTATTATATATAGATATAGATAAAACACACACACACACACACATTAAATAAATACATGTATGATTACACCCTACACTTCAAGCAAGTGGAACATCTTGTGCCACACCTCAGCATCTGAAAATATTGCTGTACATAGTTTCAGTGAAAACATAATTTATCATTCTAGCTGAATTAGTGAAGAAATTCAGGATGGTGGATAATAGTTATTGCATAGTATCATTTATTTACCTATAAATATTTCTTTTTCTTCTTTTTTCTGTTTTAGAATCCTGAATTCCTTCACAAAATTTAAGTGATAGCATATACTAGAAAAAAAATTCAAAGATTTAAAACATGCACTCTATAAAGGTAAATGATGAAACGCATAGAAACCAATCCATCTAATCAATACCAGTGTTGGACTACTTGGGTTCTGCCCATGCTAGAGCCCTATACATGAATTAGCACATCATGGGCATGGGTTTCATGATATAGGTTATTCTCATTAGGCAAGAGTGACACAGTGTGGCCTCAATGATTGTCACCATTAATTGCCCCAATACCCCCACTGAACTTACTCTCTTTCATCTGATGTTCATACCTACGTCTTAGGCACAATATATAGTAACCCATGATTTCAACTTTTCAAGCAAGCTTTGTCCATACTACTATTCTGCCTGCGATTGATCTTTTTACATATCCATCAACAGCATGTCATAGAACAAGTTAAACATTCCACAATAATTTCACAAGAAGTAAGAAATGAACCTTGAATTGCTATAATTCCAAAAAAAAGTGAGTCAACATGAGCTTACTATTAAGATGCGTTACAAATGCCATTAAGTTTAAAGTTTAAACTTGAAGATGAAAATCTCAGACAGCAATAACTGATTAGGATATAAATCAATTTAACTGTGTGCATCCTGCTTTGTCTCCAGATTATTATCTTGTAAAGAAAATCCTATGAATGTAAAATTCTAGACGCTATATAATTTTATTCCAAAACACCTATCTTTCCAGTGAAGAAATTAATAGCATTCAAGATAAGGGATTCTTATTTCCGCAACATGATTAAAGAAAGTTCTGATAAGAAGTCACCAATAGAAGAAGGAATCTCCTTACCTCGCGATTTCCTGATGGTCCCGGCCAAACCTTTCAGCTAAAGACACCAAGAACTCCCGGGGATAACTTTTGGAGAAACAACTGAGATCTAACTTCTTCTCTGGAAAGAAATTTGCCTTATCTAGGTACCCCTCCTCGTATAAACGACCCACCAGCGAAGCCATGTCTGGTGAAAACTCTTTATAACGAGGCTTAGTTTGTGGTAAAAGCTTTTTCTTAGGAGGCCTGGTTTTTTGTGAAAGCTCTTTCCGATGAGGACGAGGTCTTTCCGCATCCTTCAATTCCAAAGGCACTGGCTTTCTGTTATTTGCAAACAAAGAATACAAACTCCTAGGTGTAGTTTGAACATTTTCTCGTGGATCTTCTTCTGTCTTCGGCTCTTTCCTCTGCTTCGCTTTATCCTTGGCATTGGCTTTCAGACTTCTCACCTCACGCTCCAAATTTCGTAATTTCTTCTTCAATTCTTCGATTTCCTTCAACTTTGAATCACCAGAAAGTTCGTCTTCTTTTAATTCCGCCTTCTCTGAGGAATCGTCACTTTCTTCGGGCTTTTCACTTGACCCGACAGCCTCTTTCAACGAAACATCGAGAACCTTCTTTACCTTCTTCGCCATCTTTTTCCTACTCTCTTTCACCGGTTTCTGCACGCATTCACTATTTTCTTGCATTCTTTCGGATTTCCCATTCGATTCATCCTCCTCTGAATCAGTCGATTCATTTTCGAAGCTTTCTTCAACTTGGGCAGAAGCTGAAATCGTTCTCCGAAGGAAAGATTTGAAATTGAATAAATCAAAACTAGGACCCGGTTTCGGGATAACTAGAAAGTTCGAATCTACAATGGGAGACGTATATAGATCTTTTCGAATTAATTTTGAAGTGTTTTGCAGTCTGAGAAATGTGTAGAGGTGCTGGGCGCGAATGGTTTTGAAAAAAGCCATCTTTTAATAGCAGCAGATGGCTTTTGGAGGATTAAAATGATATTTGGCTGCTGGAAGAGACGGCCATGAAAATGCAGAGGAAGTTCGGTGGAGACTGGAGAACACTGGGGTTTAGGGGTTTAACTCAAAAGGAGCTGAAAAGTAGTAAAGTACAGCACCTTAACCTATGTTTGGTTTGAATGAAAACGTAGGGAAAGGAAGGGAAAGATGGAAAAACCTTGGCATAATAAAATATTAGGGCAACTTTTGGGGTTTAATATATTTAAAAAATTTTGAAAAATAGGTTAATTTTTTAAAAATAATATCAATAAAGGGCAAAACACTGTTCATCATCTTCTTCTTGCCATTTGTTCACTAGAGTCGCCGCCCGCCACTATCGTCCGCTGCCGCCTCCGCCTCCGACAATGTTGCCGGAGGTGGCCAGAGGTAGAGGTGGTTGCGGCAGCGGTGGCACTGGTGGTTTCTCTATCCAATGCCTCCACCTCCACCTCTGGCAACGTTACCAGAGATGGGTGGAGACAGAGGTGGTGGTGGCGGCGGGCAGAGGAATGACCACTAGCGTCGCCGCCACCACCTCTACCTTTGGCCACCTCCAGTAACGTTGTCGAAGGCGGTAGCGAATGGCGGTGGTGGGCGGCGGCTCTGGTGAACAAATGGCAAGAAGAAGATGATGAACAGTGTTTTTTCCCTTTATTGATATTATTTTTAAAAAGTTAACCTATTTTTGAAAAAAATTTAAATATATTACCTTTATTAATATTAAACCCCAAAAATTGCCCTTATATTCTAGAAACCCAAAAACCTTTACAAACTTTTGTATAGGTTTCTCTACCTTTCCCTATTTTTTCCTTCAAACCAAACATAGCCTAAGGGTCTGTTTGTTTCAAACTTTAAATGAGTGGAATTTTTTTGCTACTGAAATATTTGACATGACAAAGACAAACGCAGCCTAAAATGGAGGAAAATGGGAAAAAGGCAAAAGGTTTTGATTGGATCGAGCTGACCTAATGCCCAATTGATATTGCTCAACTGGCCCAAGGGCCTTGATATTAGACACCTTCAACAAGGCCTTGTTCCAAGTTCCAAGGCCCAATAAAGGGGATTGGCCACATCGAAGATGTTAGGGCCACTTAGACCCAGCAAAAAATTGATCTAATACACAAACCCCATCTGATCTAAAAAGCGAGTTAGGGTCTCCTATGCAGTGACTTGAACTATAAGGTGGCGTGACCCAATTGGGTCATTGGCACCATTAGATCATTGTGAGCTTTGGGAAGCTCATTGCTGGTTCAAATAGTTGGAGTTGCCATCCATTTTTTAAAGGTAATGGGCCCTCATTTTCAGGTTTGAAAATATTTTAATTAAGCCTTTGATAGTGACTCCGCCCTCCATGGGTAAGGCACTGAAACGAAAGGTTATGGGTCCAAAAGATTGGGAGAGGAAAGGTGTTAAGCATCCCTCTCTCCAAGTTGCTATAGCAGCCCACTACGAGAGTAATTCAGGCTCAAATTCTGGCAAAACACGAGCTAACAGGATTACTCAAAGCTTTTGAAATTTGGTGAAAACGTTCTCAACTTCACCCAGAATTGATTTGAGGTGATGTTATAGATCTTATGTATTGTTTTCCGTAAGACCCTTGCCTTTCTATCTCTTTTTCTCAATCTGGAGGAAGTTGGGAATGCAAGTTTCTCGAGATTTCAGGGGCTTTAAGCAACCTGAAATTAAACTAAAAGCAAAGAGATGGAGGGATGATGGGCTTACCTCTCATATACCAGCAATTGAAATTACTTCAAATGAAACTTGAGCAAGGCAGGAGCTGGTCTGAACGCTTTTGGTGTTAAGTTTGGAAAGCAGGGGATAAGGCTTAAGCTTGGCTTCAGAGATTTTGGGATTTCAAGCAGAATGAGGGGTTACAGAAGTTGGAAAGCTGCCTTCCTTCTTCAAGCTTGAGTTGGGCTTCTATTTATAGAGAAAATGAAGGGAGGTGGGTTTGAAACTCGTCTGGCTATAGTGTTTGTAGCTCATAAGAGTTTTTTTCACCAAAATAGGCAAGGATGTTGAGAGAGAAAGGCTTGCAGTTGACCCTTCCTTCTTTATGCAACAAATCTTCTCGATTTTGGGTAGTTTCTTATGGGTTTCATGCATCCAATGAGGGATTGGGGCGTGCCAGACGTTGCAGCCCTGTATTTGGGGTTGACAGTGGCAAAAAATGTAAATTTGAAGAACTTTTAAATGCTGTTTTGTCTTTTCTTGATTTCAAGTAGGGTCATGTTTTGCATTTTGAGCCTTTTAAGCCTATTAGGCTCCGATTCAAGGGTCCAAGTGTTTTAATGAGGTTAAATGAAGAGCTGATGTCAGCCCCTACCCACTTAAGACCCTAGGTTGGACAGCTGATGTGGCGATTCAATCGGGTGCGTTAAAAAGGTATCTCTCTAGTTCAACAATCAAACGGATGAATCTGGTAATGAAATTTGGTGTGTTGGGGTTTTTTGGGTCTCTGAACATAGTGGTGAGGTCTGATTGGACAAACGGGGTCGGAAATATTGATATATGTGGCTGGAAAATTTGGATCAATAAGATTTATTGAAATATAATCTTTGTTTGATGAAGGGTCAAATGGGGGAATTTTGGAATGAAATTTGATGGGTAGGCATTTTCAAACATCCCAAATCTGATGAAAGTGATGAATATTTGATCAGAGGTGTAGATTTACTGGTTCAGTTCAGATCATGGTTTTATGGTTTTTCAATCAATGAGAGGGTTTGGAATGGAATCTTATTTTTTCATGGTCAAATGGAAGTGTTTGGTTGTAAAATTTGATGTGCTGGGGTTCTTTGGGCCTCTAAACATGGTGGTGGGGTCTGATTGGTCAAATAAGGTTTGGATGATGGAGATTTGTGACAGGTGAGCTTTTAATCAATAAGATTTGACAAAACAGAATCAAGGCTTGATGTTGGGTCAAATGAGGGAATTTTGGGATAAAATTTGGTGGGCAGGTATGGATCAGGATTATGAGGCTGTTGGAAGGGTTTGATCGTGTTAGGTATGTACAAATCACAGGTTTTAGGTTCGAGGAGAGTTGTAGTGTTAAACGCGTCAAAATGGAATCTCTTATGGATGTTGTCTAAATCTAGGAATTTAGGGTTGAAATCTTGTGTGATTGTTTGTTTGAGGGTTTTGTTTCACGTGATGGAGTTTGATCAAGGATCAAGTATGGTGATGTGGCATAATCAAGACCATCGAGAGGGAATCATGTAGATTTAACGGTGGATTAAACTTTGGTTTCTTAGGGTTTTGGCATGTTTTAAAGCGGCAAACATGGTCTGGTCGGGTATTCAGAATGTAAGAGGTGGGACAAAGAAGGGACCGAGCAAAAAACGGGTGCTAACAATCATCTCTTTTTTACATCAACATTTTCAAACCAGCATTGATTAGGATGGTTAGAACTATTTGAACAGGATGGTAATCCATATTTTTCGTAAATAAGCATTGACTTGGTCAAAGACCAACTGATTCAACAATCAAACCATTAATCCAATTGACCTGTGGCCAACCCTACCATGAGTTTTTAGGGTTAGAGTCTAGCATTTACCGACCTGAATTCACTTTTGATATGGTTGGTTCTGTTTTTCTCTACCCTTGTATAGCCAATTTCTTCATATATGCTTTTAACACCAACCTCATAGCATATCTTGGCCGTACATCTGGAACATCTTTGGTAATTGTATTTACTATTCAACGGGAGATGTTCCCACTACACGGTGGGGTGTGGCTGTGAGGTCGCTTTGAGGAGCGACCCTCCCCCCTCCCCCAAGAAAAAAAAGAAGAAGAAAAATAAGCTATTACATAGCATTGTTTGTTACTAACAAATCCAGATTCAAACAATGGAGGACTCATTCTTAGTTTGTTCACAGTTAAATTTTCTTCCTTAATCTAATGTGAATTGTACTTTGATTTGGCATCATCTCATTGGTGGTAAGAGGAAGCAATCTATGCATACGAGTTAGATCTGCTTTGTGACAAGTGTCCTAACATGCATGATGATTTTAGACGTGTAATATCAAATTTATTAGTCTATTACCAATAGGGGGTGGATTTGAGTTGAAGCGAGCCCAATATCTAACTATTCGAGTTAAGCTTGATTTGAAGTAGAGATTTGAGCTCAAATTTGGTTCGAGCCAAAAGCTCATATGTTCAAGTTCGGCTTGACTTGAGCTCAATTGTGAACCAAGCTTCCTATAAAAAATAAATTATACATATAAAATATATTTCTTATTTTACGTATAAAAGTTATTTATTATTATACATATAAAAATAAGAAAAACAAAATATTATATATATATAATTTAAGTTCAATTAGGCTCACAAGTTTCATTGGACTTGAGGTTGACTCGATTTGTAAACGAGCCTATATATTGGGCTCAAGCTCAATTCAAAGCTCAGTTTAACTGAGTTGAGTTCAAACAACTTGTAGAAAAATACAATTTGTGTATACCTTAATTACCAGCATAGAGGTGAAAGAGAACTGGGCCCTTTTTCAGGAAAAACTAAGCACAAGCCCAATCCACAAACAAGTCTAGTAGTGAGATATTCATTAAACCAACCAAAAATAAACTCAAAATCCATACACAGCCAACCAAACAACTAACAATCAGAAATAAAGCCAAAAGGAAAGTCCTCGTATTGCACCCTAACTTTTTTCTACCCAAAAAAGGAAGAAAGCTAATGTCTTTAAGCAGCAAGCTCACAAGGCAATCAGCTGTAGCCGTTAGGTGCCACCAATCTCTAATAAACAAAAGATGCACGACTTTGACATAAAGCTTGTGTGGGAGGGCTTCAGCTTTGATTGAGCTGCATTGATTGGAGGAAGCTTCTAAAATTAGCTTCACCTATAGTCCATTTCTTAGTTGAGATAATGTGTGTTTGAACTTTCTAAGGTTTTCACGAAAGATAGATTCTACGCTTTCTATGTAATGTAACACTTGCCTTGCAATTGCAAATCTAGAAAACTGCTGTGTGAAAGCCTTCCTAAATGGGTACATACTTTCACAAAGCTTGTGGAAAGTCATTTTCTTTGAATGGGCCTCAGTAGGAGGTGTAGATGAGGCACAGCTGCATACGAAGTAGAATAAAGTAAAACCCAAAACAAAATTAAATAAGAATTTGCATTTTTTTCATTTGCACTCTAATGCATTTATA